CTTCAGTTTTTAGTTTAACGTTTGCAATAAAACCCCTTACTTTGATTTCGTGAGAGGGCTTGTGTATGTTTCTCCCCACCTGTCGCCTAGCAGAGGCGGTCGTAACAAAGAGAGAAAAAATACTTCTCATTTTAATTAATGACAAAGCTAAAGGAAAAAAAAAAATCAAAGTGCATTCTTTTTTAAATCGTAAAGCTTATTTTGTTTTTTAATATTTGGTGGTGGTGTATTTTTTACCTCCCCACTTAGATTGTTTTTTTACAGGAGGAAATGGGCAGTGAGTTCAAAAAGTGTTGCAGGGTGGAGAGGTAATCATCTGGGTGGCAGCGCAAGTGGGCCGCATGTATCGACTTCTTCCACTTTCTGCTGTGCACGTCCACTCCTCTATGTCTCCAGACGTCAATCAGCTTTTCCATCACTGCAGTGTTGCACATTGCATCGTTTTCACTGAAGAAGAAGAGAGCGGGAGCGGTAACTGGGTTGTTGTGGAACACTTGGATGCTGGTCTCGTAGAAGTCTGCCGTGTGGGTTTTGAAAAGCCAGAAGTAAAGCATGGCAGTGTTTTTGACGAAGCTCTCAAAACGTGGCACCAGAGTTCTAGCAATGCCTGAATGAAAAATGTCAAAAAAAACAAACAAAACAAATTTAAAAAAAAAAAACACAAGAGAGTAAATAGTTTAGAGTTTTAAAGCTTTAGTCTTATGTAGGCCGTGTATCAAAAATAACCTAGACCTATATAGCTAAGTCCGAAATTGGCCAGCTGTAGGGCAAAATCAAATATTATTACCTCCTTTTTAGTGCTTTTGTTGTGTTGATGATCCAATCCAATACCTGACAAGTAATGCCATGGCTTACCCTGTAGTGAAACACACCAACAAGTCTGTGCTCCAGTTCTTCTGATTGCAATTCTAGCCTTTTTCTTTGTAACCTAACCTAACTCTAATTACCAGGTGCTTTGTTGTCCATGTTGTCAGAAGTTTACATGCATCATGGGCATGAATTTGATGGAAATTTTGCACTTCTAACAGACTTGATTTCTTCAAAATGTTCTTTTTCCTCTTTGGAATCTTTAAGGACTTCAAAAAAAAAAACAAAAGAAAAGAATTGGGTGCACATGTTTGAATTTATTTTAATTTAAATAAATGAGGCTTTAGATGGTAGTACAGTAACTACACAGTGTGAATGCCAGTTTGTTTGTTTGGTTTTTTTTAGAAAACTAGACAAAACTAGCAGTTTAGTTAGAACCTGATAAAAATCCCAGATGTTAAATGGATAAACTGCTTGCAGACACAGCCCTAAAGCAGATTAAAACAAGCAGCTAGAGAGAACTCCTGACAAACTGGAGCAGTGGGTCGATCGGCTAATAAATTATGTAAAGATCTGACACACGTATCCAACACAAAAGTGAACTGCAACCCAATATACTAGATCACACTCACTCACCTATCGCCATGTGCTCCAGAGTGCCGACCACTAAGCTGTCATAGATGTGTCCCATCATCCTCTGTGCCAGGCCCCCATGTTTTTTTGGTTCTTGGACAATGTGGGTGAGGATTTGAGTGAAAGTGTAGCCACCGATGGAAGAAGCATGAACCAGCATCACCCTCCCTGCGAAGGGAGGGTTCTCCAGAATTTTCAGAACCTCCAATCCATACTCGAGCCCCCATCGAGGCCACAGGAAGTGCATCACACTGCTCTGAACCAGGAGGACATCCATGCCACGGTCCAGATAAAGGTCCCGGTACTTAGCCATTCCCCCTGGTTGGGCACCAAGCCAGGAGAAGAAAAGCAGAAGTGGACGAGAAGTGGACGAAGAATATGATTGTTTTTGGGAGGAGACAGATGTGTTTGATGGTGAATCTGAGAGGAGTGTAGAGGAGGCCTCTGCAGATGGTGAAACAGGGAACGTGGAGCAAACAGCTGCAGAGTCTTGAAATTTTTTGGCAAGACATTCTGTCTCGCAACCTGTACCAGTGAGGGGAGTGTAATAATAGGTTATGCCATTGCAGATCGTTTTGGCTATTAAATGTCGTCTGTTAACTTTATCCGACTTGGTTGCGTCAGTCCTTATGAGGCTGAAAAAGAGGCCAGATTGAAACATGAATACTTTCCACAGTTCACCAGAGAAACAGCACACAACAACAGACTATAACATTCACTTGGCCAAGGATTTGCAAACATATCCTCAGAGGACCCAGAGAACTCAAAGACTGATTATTGTCATTATATGTTGTGACTGTCATCACAAACAGTAATTCATGGAGAATTCTTTGAGGTTAAATTAACTTTAATTCCCATCGTAGGACTGAAATTATGGACAAACAAAATGACTATAATAAAATCATCAGTATGGTTTTAAATTTGGAAGGAAGTTTATTTATTGTGCCAGATGGCCATTTGTTTAACTTCAATGTAAAATCATTTTTACCTTATTTAATGCCATCATTTCCATTTTAATGACATTATCTTAGCCTGTGAGTGCAGTGGTTCACATCAATTTTCCATGCATTAGACTCAACAGACTATTTACATGCATTTTTAAAAGACTTAATTTATATTGGAAACATGTTTACTGCATTAAGTTTTATTTCTAGATGATGATGTTGAAGCCATGTAATCATCATTAGTGGACTACATGCAACTGAGATGCATAGCAGGCCAAGGTTTTTGCGTGTCAGTGTGCACTTCCTATTTGAGTCTGGCCCATTTTATGTGTAAAATTATGTCGTTTTAAAGGAAATAATACAAGAAATCAAATAACTAATTGGAGGTTGTTAGTTATTTGATTTCTTGATACATGATCGCTACTATGGATGACGGAAAGAAAAAGTCAGCTGTAAACCATCTTCTCGCCTCACCTGAATCAGTGTAACTTTACCAGGTTGTTAATTTGACCTACACAGAAAACACCTGATTGAAGTGACACATTCACCCCTTCATTTCATCGATGGATCCATTTCCGTGATCACAAAAACTTCACGCATGGCATTTAGCTATACATTTGGCTTTATTGTGTCACCTCCTTGTAATTGTACTTTTGTTAACACCTTAGACTTTTATAAACCGTAGTTTAAGTCAATTTTGCACCATCTTTCTTGGCTCTTTACTGGTGGTGCTCTATAGCGACACGCTGGCAAAACGAATGCGTGACCTTGGTTGTTAATATTCTTACTGCGTTCTTGACGCACACCAGGAGCTCCACGCCGATCCACTGATTACCGTATTGTTTGAACATGTGATTAACAGACTTTATGATCCACACATAGCTTTACAGCTCGCTTTATACCTCTGCTGCTTTTACCAACGCATGCACTGAGTGAAGTGAATCCTGGGGGATAATTTCAGAACATTACTGGGTCACGCGAGGACACGTCACATCTTTTGTCTACCTTTGTTTCAGTGGATATTCGTGCAAAGAGCAGTAAGCAGGGCATGCACAAGTAATGCCAAAACAACATGATGTATCTGTCTACATATATATAGATAGACACATATGTATATATTTATATTTTACCCTGTGGAGAACAGCAGGTTTCCCATTCTGAGAGACTTAGGTGTGTCCGTCTCCTCCTGGTATTCTGAAAAAAATTACTTCCGAGAGTCGTTTAGATCTGCTAAGGCGTTATATCGTAGCAACGGATAACCCCGGATGTATGACTGACAGTCAAGAGTCCGCCTCTCTTCCACCGGCTCTCGCCGCCCCTTTAACTCCCGCAGTCCTCCGTGAGCGGTTTCTTGTCCGCGTGCTGCAGTACGTCTGCTCGGTGCCATCAAACAAGCTGAAACAAAACGCATAAAAGATCGCCTAACGGATAAGACACAATGTGAAAGCAACAACTATTAGTGATGAATAATATAAGACGAGGTGTTCAATAAAAATTCTTGTTTGACCCTTTAACATCGGAACACGAAGGTATTTATAGCGTCAAGGGCTCAGTGCACCTGGATCCCGTGGCGATAACGCATGCCCTAGTCACACTGACCCGACAGGCTTCATGCGGCTAAATAGGGAAGCACAGAAAGCCACAAGGTTATTTGTTCTGACATACCAACCAGTTAACGCCAAAACGTCTGAGGGGCCACGAGATGGAGCCAGAGAGCCACATAGATTTCAGAGAAACAGCTTTGTGCTGATGCAGTGGATGACACTGACACAGCAAAAAGGTTGTATTATAATATATTAAATATTCCCGGTAGCTTCATGTTGTGCACAGTTAGTTGTATGTGTGTCTCATGATGTTAGTTTCCTGTTCGGGATTTTCCTGTTTAATTTTGTAATTCTTAGTCCGTTTACACCAGGGGTCCCCAATTCCAGTCCACGAGGGCCGGTGTCCCTGCAGGGTTTAGATGTGTCCTTGATCCATCACAGCTGATTTAAATGGCTAAACTACCTCATCAACATGTCCTGCTGCTGACCCAGGGTGAGATGTAAAACCTGCAGGTACACCGGCCCTCGTGGACTGGGATTGGGGACCCCTGGTTTACACGCTTGCCAGTTTTGCTTCCTGTATTTGTTGTTTTTTCTCCCTTTTCTGGTCGTTTGTCCTCAATACCTGTCACCTGAGTTTAGTCTCCCTCACCTGTTCCCTATCAGCTGATTGCTCACTTGGGAATAAATGTACTCCCAGTTTTAATTTGTTTATTGTGGAAAGTCCCCTCCCGTGTGTTAATTTGTGTGTGTGTGTGTGTGTGTGTGTGTGTGTGTGTGTGTGAGAGAGAGAGAGTGTGTGTGTGTGTGTGAGTGTGAGTGTGAGAGACCTCTGGACTATGTCAGGGACTTTACCTTTTGCCTGCTCATCATTTTGATTGTTTGCTACATTATATGATTCCCCATGTATAACCTTTGCCTGTTTTTTGTTTTTGTTTTTTAATTATAATTATTTGGACGTTAAACTTTAACTCTGTTCTCTGTGTGCCCTGCATTTCCACCCTCTTCCTCCATGTCTCTCAGAATAACCTGCTATATATATTTATTATCTGCTGTCGTCTTTGCCTTTCTTTACGACAAATTGTTCTTACAGCAAAATCTAATTGTGTAGAGCTGTTTTAGACAGTGGGGAATTCCAGAATCTAAAAAGCTATGCCAGCAACATGTTGATGTAATTCATCCTTTAAGAAGCTTCCAGATTATAATTGTTTCATCCTGCACAGTAAGACAGTATTACATATGTTTTATCTACACAAAATATAACAGATATACCAAACTCAGGCATAAATGCCTGAATTCTAAATTATGCAGAGTTCAAGAATCTGAGTCTATGTTCTTAACTTTAAGTTTACATTGGAGATCGTCTCAATGGGGATTCCAGAGAAAGTGAGCCATGGCTGTCCTCTGACAGTGCTTTATATGTAGGTAATTTTAAAATGTCACATTTATGATCAAATATTTCCATTCTGTCAGGCAGCAGAGTGAGTTTTAGGTAATTTTCTACAGTTATTACCCCATCAACACACACATACACACACACACACCGCTACAACACCTTTAAATTTTCCAGGATTTCTGCTTATGTTTGAAACCCTGGTTTGGGTGTGTTTACTTGTGGATTACTCTAATATTCCGATCATTATTGTCCCTTTGAGCTAACTGGCTATGAATGGCATGTAACAAACAATGTGAGAAAATGTTGCCTTAACATAACTGTAATCAGTCAGAGCAGGGTGGTAAATATAGTCCATGTAAATAGGAAACAAATTCATTCATCCTCAACTACTGAAATAACTTCCAGAATGGCAGAAACACCAGAAATCTATTCAATATTAAAAATATAAACACACTCAACTAAATACCTGAGTTTCTCATCTGATGGCAAAATAATAATATAAGATTTTTGTTCACTTTTACAGACTGCTCTCTTGTTTTTGGCAAACAAGTAAGCAAACAGTTGTCTGCCTATACAGAAGGCAACATTAGTTTCATTTTGCTAAATATATACCTGTGATCAGAAGCTAGTCCCTAATATTCCCAATAGACTCTTTATTCCTGCAGCACGTGGTTTCATTAGAGTTTGTTTGTTGCCTGCTGTGACTGGAGTTGAAACCAAAACAGTGAAGCTGTAGGCCCCAAAGGTCAATGAGCTGAAATATATATTTAAATTCCAGTATATAAGAAAGAAATTACCCTCAGGAGTCGTCAGGAACAACAGATTGGACTTATAATTCTCTACTCAATTAACTGCACTGACTTCAAATGACTCGCACTCAATAGTTAATATAAAAATATTGATTAATGCAGTTTTAATTTCTGCTCTGTTTGTGAAAACTTGTGTGCAACAGAAAAAGGCTGCATTGCTTTTCCTGCCTCAGCACGATCACTTTCAGGCTCAGTCAGGCAGAAAAATGTTTGAGTCCCACAAAAACATAACCCTCACCCCCCAGGCCATGTGTCTGTGGTATTCTCATCACTAACTGGCCTCCATCTACTCTACACCTCTCATTCCCATCTAATGACATCCTCTTAGGACCCCACCCCCCCCATTCCTGCTCATTTTCTATATGTTCCCCCTCCCCAAAACTCTCCCTACACATAAAAAGAGGTTTGCAAGGACCACCCCCTATTGCAGCCATACAGATTCCCGGCCTTCCCTTTCTGAATTGTTTCACCATGGGCTCTATTGTCCGGGCAAAGACAGAAAGTTGGGAGGAAGAAAGAGAGTGAAGAGAGGGGAAAATGTGCCCTCTCTATTCTTTGGGTTGGAGGCGTCCACCCACATCAGGGTGTGGAAATTCCGTTTCAGCTTCCTGCTTTCTCTCCAAGCCCTTTCCTTTTAGTCCCCTCACTCAGTCATCGCTGTCATGGGTTGTTTTTGGCTTTGTGGAACGTCCAGATTTTAATGCAAAGCGTTATCTGAGTATAACCCAGGAACACTTTTACTCGTAGTAGGTATGAACATGTGGCAACATCATTCAAACCTAAACAATCACAATAGAAAAACAATACTTATAGGAAAACCTGTATTTTTCACACACACACACACACACACACACACACACACACACACACACACACACATATAAGATGCTAAAATTTTCTATAGGCCTGAGGGGATTGGTGTAATCATCATATTTGTTGCTACTTTTGTGGTGCAAGTTGTGTTACTTAATCCATGATTAATTATGCCAAGAAGGCCGTGTTAAACAATATGAACCTTTATTTCCTTAATTTCCATCAGTCTCACTCTCCCACCCAGGCCTTTCCAGCTTTCAGGATTCTTGAAGACTGTGATTTGCATTCACGCCATGCCCAAAGGATGTTATGGTTACTGTTACGATTTAAGACACCTGTCCTTATTAACCAATTACATACCAAGAACCAAGGACATTTGATGGGATCAGTCTTCCTCACTGGTATGGAAACCATGTGAAATCTCCAACCATACAGTCACTGATTACAGATACCCAGCAAACACTGAGTACAGCAAAAAAAAAAAAAGAATCCATTTAAAGGTTCTTGCTTGTGTGTGTGTGTGTTTTCTTTTTTAAATCAGTAGACTATATTGTTAATTTAGCTGCTGAAAAACTATAAAGTCAAAACATTAACAGGAAACCTTCCAAATTCTTGATACTACCTAATACCTAGTGTGAGGCAGTTGCTAATGATAGTGAGTTACATGAAGCTAAACTTGACCCCTATCAGCAGCCATTATCTTTGAAAAGTAATCTCTCACTTTCCCCTCCTGTCCTGTCTTTCAGCCATTGTACGCTTGCCTAGCAGGGATACTGTGAGACAAGCTGCACAGAAACAGTTTGTGTTTGCTTATACTTTATATTACTTCACCACTTTAAAAACATACTCTGTTTATCTTCAGACAGGTTGTTAAGTGTTTGCTAACATTAGCTTTGTTGCAGTGCCTTCAAGTGTCCATAAAATCAGTTGTCATTAAATGTAAATTGAATTCTGCAACTGCATATGAATTCTAAAAGACTAACAGTTGTGAACAGATGGCGCATGGAGCTATATGGCTCCAGGAGGAAAAGCAGCCTGGTTGATAATGACACTAAAATGGGAGAATTAAAAGTTCTGGAAACAGCCTGAATACAGACTGTATATAAAGAAGTACAAAACACTATGATAACAGCAACTACTGTTTTCAAGTATACAGTTAGCATCTTTGGTTGCTTCCATCTTGCACTTTTGAAACCAGATGGTGCATGAAAGAGTAGACCTGATTAGCTAATGCTAACACAAGCTAGATAGCTTAGCTAGCTGTCGCGGTAGTAGGGATTCAAGTTTTGACTGGTAAAAATGAAACATACCCTGCTTAGTGGGAAAACTGTAACCATGCAGAGAGCAAGCAAGGCTGAATCTGACTGACAAATCAAGCCCATGCAGTAACACATAGCCTGCATTATTATCTATTTTACTTGTTACAAACTAAACATTTAGACCTACCATAGAACCAAGTCCGCCAGAGCTTATATTATATTTTTACATGTTGTAGTGCCATTTTGGGAGCATTTCAAGTTGTTATACATCAATACAACCATTATAGTCCAAATTTTAATAATATGTATGCATTAAGTGCATAGTAATTACATAAATTGCAAAAAAGTGCAATAAACTACAAAA